GAGAAGAGTTGAGTGGGAAGTTCTGAAGGATCTGTTCTCCTTGTTTCTTTCGTTTTCTATACTAGGATGCAGTATGTTCGTGCATTTTCCCATGCAGTCTTTATCCTTTTCCCCACCTAGCATAGTGGCATGCCCCTCGCAAATGCTAGGGCATCGTCTTTTTTTTAGTGTCTGAGAACTAAATTTATGGTTTCATGCTTATCCACATTATGTGATATGTAACAATACAGTTCTATAACAAACAACAATGGTTGTGCTAAATAAAATATCCAATGTGTAAGTATCATCTTTAATTTGTCGGCAATTGATTATTATGGCATTTTTGGAAGGGCCATATATGTCATTTACATGATATTTGATCGATACATAAATTTTAAATCTAGCTTCCAATGTTAGGCTGTAGTTTTCTGTGATATTTGATTAGTATGCACCCTAACATTTAGAAGTACACATTGGAAGCTAGATTTAATTGGTCTCTCAAATCCCACGATCATAATACGCCCCCACATGAATGACCTATTTAATCAGGTGTCTCAAATCCGACAATCTCTGAATCCCATACGTATGTGCTTATTTGGCACATTCTCTTCCTTCGTTAACTTGTGCTTAGTGCTTCCCGAATCGGCTTACTGAATTTATGGTACCAAGGTACCAAAAGATGGAGTTGGCTGGATGTGGGTGAGGTGGTATTATTTAATAGGAAGACCAAGCGTATATATGTACACTGCCTATCTAGCTCAGTTGGGCACCTCCCTGAGGCACCATTTACTATTTACAATTTTTTAGGCCCAACGAATCTACGACGAACGAAGGATCCACCCGGAGCGATGGACAAATTGGGAGAATTCAGTGGCCCAGCATTTCATTAGCGTAGCACCACATACGCCATTTTTTCTTGATGCTTCCCATTGGAGGCAGAAGCTAAATGTGTATGCGGGTATCTCCATTGATCATAACCTGTGATCAGCAGCGGCGATTTGCCGTGACAGGGATGCCACATATATGGGTTCTTCGATTCTGACCATACATGGCTTAACATACCCTACTGTTTCAGGAGGCAATCGCTTGTAGAGAGGCTCTAAATCTGGGGAATGATCTTGGATTGAGTCATCCTTACATTGCCTCTGATTGTGAGGAAGTGGCCAATCACATGCATGAAGCTTCAGGATGTTTCGAAGGAACTATCGTTAGAGAGATTAAACAGCAGGAGAAATCTTTTACTTCATGTTCTTTTGTTTACGAATGTAGAGCTTCGAATTATGAGGCTCATAAGTTAGCTAGGCTAGGGGTTAACCTTCCTTCCCAAAGGCAGATTTGGTTGGAGCATCCCCATGATACCCTTGTAATTCCTGTAATGATTGACATTGATGAATAAAGCCTAGTTACCTTTGCTAAAAAAAACATCAGCCATGTTTTTCTTTTTTTGTTTCCTTTTTCTTTTTTTCCTGTCTTTTTTGCCTTCTCTCTCCTTTTTTCTAGTTTGCCTTGTCTTTTTTATTTGTCATTTTTTCCTTTTTTCTATTATTTTTGTTTTTCCATATATTTTTTCAAAACATGTTTGTGTTTTAAAAAAATGTTCGTAAATATCAAAAAATGTTCCCTTTTCAAATTTTGTTCTAAAATTCAAAAAACGTTCTAGTACAGCTAGCGTCATTGCATTGGGTCTTGTAACTGTCCTAGTGGTTGCAGTAACTAATAAAAATGGAGGGGTGTCGATCCCTTTCTTCCCTCTCCTGCAATCTTTTATTTAAAAAATTAACATCAAAAGACAAAAGTTCAGTTGGGAGTGTTCTCATGGCTTTGTTGAAATTTGTTCTCCGCGTGCCTTTCCATTTCTACTGGCTAGAAGGTACATTCCTACGTGCCTACACACACTCTCTTTTCTTCTTTTCTCCAAAAGAAGAGCAAAGAATTTTCGCTTCAAAGTTAAGAACATCAAAAGACATGAATTGAGTTGGGAGTACTCATGGCTTTGTTCCGTCCTGGTTCCTGTGTTATTTACTAGGGTGTACTACATTGGTACGTTTTCTAACACACTCGTATTGCGTTTACCCAAGATGAGGACTAAGAATCAATGCCCTTGGAGTATATTTAGGGAAAAGGTTGCTTTATTTTGCATAAAACTAATTACTAAAGCAGAACAGCGTGCATCTATGTGCGGCGACCAATAGCTTTTGTGGTGATCACATTTGTTGGCCATGCGCACTTGTGGTGAGCAACTAACATGTGGAGTGACGTGCTAACATGTGGAGTGCCGTGCTAAGAAAGAGCACAGGTAGAAGATCGTTGTAATATAATGGTGGACTGATAGTAAGACCGACAGTAGCACAACCACAGAATAAATAATTGAAGATGGTTTGAGAAATTCCATCTACATTGTGAAATGTCCTCATCAAGGGTTGCTGAAATATCTGGGTTTTGAGAAATGGTTTGTTTAAAAAAAAATGAGCGGCTGACACTTCAATCATGGAGAAACATGTTAACCTACCGAAAAAGGGTTTCCCCCCGCTTCCACCGATCACACGATAAATGCTGGGGCGCACAACACATCAAGTCCAAAAGAGAAAGAAAGAAGAACAAAATGCCAACAACGGCAACTCGACAAAGCACAGATGATCTGCAACTGCTGCGCCCTCTGGATTCGTCCCGCTGCACACCAAGGTTCCAAATCGCCGTGTACCAAGCAGAACCTCGAAGAAGGGATGCGACGTCGATGACACTGCTGCCTGGACATGTTCTAGGGTTTCCCCGGCACGTGGAGAGGAGTGGAGGATGGGTAACCATCAGGAAGGAAAGGCGACACCCGCAGGCGACACCGCGTCGGCGCCGGAAGAACCGCCAGGGATTTCTCCCGCATCCCAACCACCACTATCCGCCTGATCCGAAGCCAACCAGCCAGACAGCCACCCACCAGCATACGCCACTACGATCTTGAAGTCATCTATGTCGCCTCATTTAGACCGCCATCACGAGGCCTAGAGGATGGAGAGAGGAGCGCCAGAAATTGGGAGGGGCATCACTTGAGCCGCGTCGAAGGGAACCACCTCCTCCACCATCGTGCGGGAGGCCTCTGCCTCCAGCATTGTCGCAGGTGCCAACCGGACGCGGCCGCAGTGGCACACCAGGCCACCCAGGCCCGGCCGGGCCCATCTCAGGCCCGCAAAGCCGCTGCCACCCCACTGCAGCAAGCCGGCGACGGCGCCGCCCCCACCCAGCTTTCCTACACCATTTTTAGTGAAGCACACAGCCAAGCAAACGAATTCTTTAAGCTTAACAACTTGGATTGATATTCACCATTCGGTTGCACCCTTTGCAGCCTTCCTATTTTGTTCCCTTATTCTCTTTTATTTATTTTTACCTTTTGTACATACTCTTATCAGGCAATAATATTTGCAGTACGGGCTTGCCTTATTGTTTTTGTTTCAAAAATAGAATGGAGCTACTAATTGAACACATCGAACTTGGAAGGAAGGAGAGGTGCTGATGAAGACTTCAGGAGTGGGACAGATGTAGACGGCTGGTATGATTTAGATGGTTGAGAGGCCGACAATTATCGTTTGAATTTTAATCCAGAGAGCGCTCTAGGTTGTGCAAGGTAACAATAGGTTGCATAGGTGCATGTCCGGCATTGCACACAGCAAGAGTATTTTGTGATAATGTTTTTGTATTATAGGGGAAAGCAGCTGAATCATCTTGTCTTTTTGTTTTACTTGGAGATATGTGGCACCGCGAGCTGTTCTACTTTTAGGTTGGGGCGTGCCATCGTTGAGTCAGTGTTCATACATGAATGCACATCCAAGTAAAGATGAAATTGACAAAGTAAAACATAAACATAAACATCGGCAGTTCAAGGAATCATCATCAAGTACATGTTAGTTGACACCAAATGTGCCACGCAGTAGCATGTAGCATGTATTTCACCATGGATTAGTTAATGCAAATCCACACGATAGTAAAAGAATTACCAAGACCATGCATGCTAATAACAATGCATATTCATTAAGATAGTTTGTTTTGCAACACCACAAGAAACAGAAAATGGAACAGCGACATCCCACAAGCTGAGCACTCGACCCACCACCACCCCACATGTTAATAACAATCATCTAATTAACCTGCTAGACACAATGCAAAGAGAGAGAAAAGAAGAAGCGCAAAGACATAATGCACCCATCGAAGTAGCAGCTAGTACGTGCATTGACATGTCAGGCATTACAGGCTATAGGAAAGCTAATATTCCGATCGCCGACGTAATCGACGGCGTCGCACACCACCCTGACGTCGTAAGGCCTCGTGTAGGCAGCCGGCCCGACCCTGTACTTCACCACGGCCAGCACCAGCACGCCGATCGCCGGAGCCCTGCCGGAGGGGCCTATGTCTAAGGCCGTGCCGAACAGGGTACCCGACTGGCTCATGCTCACCGTAGCCCCCGGCGGCTGCCAGTGCCAGGGCGGCGATGCGGGCCCGGCCCCCAGTTTGTACTCCGTGCCGTTGGACTTGAACTGCAGGTACACGATGACGCTGCTGTACTTCACCCCGGCACGGTGGCTGGTGTTGTTGGCGGAGAGGGTGAGGTTCAGCTGCCTCGTCTTGCTTTTACGGTCGAGCTTGCCGGCGACGGCGCCAGTGACGGAGAAGACAATCCTCGCGGGTCTGAGGACCGCGGAGACGGCGATGACGACGGCGGTCACGGCAAGGGTTACCATGAGGGCGGCGAGGATATAGCGCTTAGTTCTCCATCCGCGAGGATGAACTGGGGCTTTCGCCATTGCTAGCTAGCTTCTCCACCTTGCGCTAGTGTTGGTTAGCTATGAGCATATTAGGAGTTATGACTGACAAGCTAGGCATAGATCGATATATCATATCCCCTCGGCCTCGGAGGGTAAAGCGATCGATATGGAGAATACATTTCTTTTTACATTTTGCTACAACTATCTTTGCAACAGGCAGAAGCGTGAGCTACAAGTAATAATCGCAAAAGTGCTCTAGCATGTTTTTACATGCCGAAGGCCCAAAATTCCTATGATCATATCTCGATATATGCAACTCTGAGTTGCCTTGTCACTTCAAGGTCTTTGGCCTGTGAAAATTCTTGATATTTGCACACGATTTCTATGATGTTACCGCTGGATCAACATCCTAATATTAGCGTTCATAGTTAGACTTTTGTTCAAACGAGTACGAGTTAGCTAGACGCTCGTCTTTTTCTCAAGATATCTTCCATCTAAATACTAGTAATTAAGTACGCTCGAGGTAGCTTCCTCAGAGAGTCTAAGTACAACTTTCACTTTAGCTTTCACACATGTGGGCACGTTACGGTATGAATTGTAGACAAATCTATGGAAACGGAATATATAGCTCGACTCACCAGTTTAATTAGCTGCACCTGCACTGCATCACTAGCTAGCCAGGTTCGTACACAGGACTAGCCGTAGAGTGTGTTTTTAAAAATATAACCATTTTTTTGTAACCAATCTGCAAGAAAAGTAACATGTTTACTTTTAATTTTTGCACACATTGTAAATACTTATATTTTTGTGGCCAATATTTGCAGGCATATGCTTGGTAATTGACATCATGACTTTCTTCAGATTATTTGAGCTTTTCTTTTGAGGAACGGCCATCATGGCTATCTCTATTGAATTTAAACAAGCATTACATCATCCACGAGTCTGGAAATCAGATACCCCCGGGCCGTGGTTCATCCGTCTAACTAAAAGAAGACTTACTACAACAACCGTAATTAGCTATCGCATCCGCCGTTTCAAAATGACCTTCCTAATCAACAAAGCCATATCCACACATTCCGCAATGATTGCTGCAGTAACATACTATAATCTTGTATGTCCAGTACAGTTGTCTACAACAATCAAATAATCGGACTCAACTTTCCCACGGGGAAACCTAAGGAGTTTGTGAATATCAGTCCATCACGCATAGCCATTTCCTTAGTTTTTTTTA